CATGTTTTATATTCTAGTTTCTTCAAAATAGCCACCCTTTGCTCTGATTACTGCTTTGCACACTCTTGGCATTCTCTCCATGAGCTTCAAGAGGTAGTCACCTGAAATGGTTTTCCAACAGTCTTGAAGGAGTTCCCAGACATGTTTAGCACTTGCTGGCCCCTTTGCCTTCACTCTGCGGTCCAGCTCACCCCAAACCATCTCGATTGGGTTCAGGTCTGGTAACTGTGGAGGCCAGGTCATCTGCTGCAGCACTCCATCACTCTCCTTCTTGGTCAAATAGCCCTTACACAGCCTGGAGGTGTGTTTGGGGTCATTGTCCTGTTGAAAAATAAATGATCGTCCAACTAAACGCAAACCGGATGGGATGGCATGTCGCTGCAGGATGCTGTGGTAGCCATGCTGGTTCAGTGTGCCTTCAATTTTGAATAAATCCCCAACAGTGTCACCAGCAAAACACCCCCACACCATCACACCTCCTCCTCCATGCTTCACAGTGGGAACCAGGCATGTGGAATCCATCCGTTCACCTTTTCTGCGTCTCACAAAGACACGGCGGTTGGAACCAAAGATCTCAAATTTGGACTCATCAGACCAAAGCACAGATTTCCACTGGTCTAATGTCCATTCCTTGTGTTTCTTGGCCCAAACAAATCTCTTCTGCTTGTTGCCTCTCCTTAGCAGTGGTTTCCTAGCAGCTATTTGACCATGAAGGCCTGATTGGCGCAGTCTCCTCTTAACAGTTGTTCTAGAGATGGGTCTGCTGCTAGAACTCTGTGTGGCATTCATCTGGTCTCTGATCTGAGCTGCTGTTAACTTGCCATTTCTGAGGCTGGTGACTCGGATGAACTTATCCTCAGAAGCAGAGGTGACTCTTGGTCTTCCTTTCCTGGGTCGGTCCTCATGTGTGCCAGTTTCGTTGTAGCGCTTGATGGTTTTTGCGACTCCACTTGGGGACACATTTAAAGCTTTTGCAATTTTCCGGACTGACTGACCTTCATTTCTTAAAGTAATGATGGCCACTCGTTTTTCTTTAGTTAGCTGATTGGTTCTTGCCATAATATGAATTTTAACAGTTGTCCAATAGGGCTGTCGGCTGTGTATTAACCTGACTTCTGCACAACACAACTGATGGTCCCAACCCCATTGATAAAGCAAGAAATTCCACTAATTAACCCTGATAAGGCACACCTGTGAAGTGGAAACCATTTCAGGTGACTACCTCTTGAAGCTCATGGAGAGAATGCCAAGAGTGTGCAAAGCAGTAATCAGAGCAAAGGGTGGCTATTTTGAAGAAACTAGAATATAAAACATGTTTTCAGTTATTTCACCTTTTTTTGTTAAGTACATAACTCCACATGTGTTCATTCATAGTTTTGATGCCTTCAGTGAGAATCTACAATGTAAATAGTCATGAAAATAAAGAAAACGCATTGAATGAGAAGGTGTGTCCAAACTTTTGGCCTGTACTGTACTTAAACATACAATCTTTATTAAAACATTTAAATTTAATTGAATTTAAATGCCATTATTAATCCTTGATGCAAAGAACAAGTCTGATTTTGTAGTCAAAAAACTTATGTTAACATGTTCTCATGCTGCTGTCATTTGTAGCATAGTGTACCTCTGCAGCGCTCCCACTGCAAAGAATTGGCAAAATGTACTGGCCTCAGAAAACAAAAGCTGTTCCATTTAGATAGGTTGAGGTGAAGCAGTTGCTGCAGCTGAACATGTTGCCATCCTCCACTTTTGTTGTTGTTCTTCTGTGCTCGTAGGTGCTACTTATTCTTCATTTGGCATTTTACAGCAGGCTAACACTTGACCCGTCAGGTCAGAAAGAATTGCATCCCCAGTCCCCACGGTACCAGACTACAAGAGCTACCGTCATGTTTTCAGAATTTTGGCATTAACTTGGTTCCAAAGTAGAGTTGGGCGATCTTGTCCATATCCTATCGTCCTATCGCCATCTAGTGAAATCGACGATGAAAGGTGTCATCGCCGTGGCAAGGAGAGAAGAGGATGTCCTCCTTCTTCCTTGTAGAGCCTGCCCTGTGTGTCTGAAACGTTCACTTATAGCCTTTCTTTGGCGTTTGAGCAGCTTTATAAAACTCTTGAACATGTAATGGCTCCTTAATTAGCAAGTTGAATTTACATAGACGGCATATTTTTTCAATTTCTCCTGACATTGTGTTGTTTGGTTTGTTCACTGCTCCGCAACATGCACGTTAGTGTCGAGCAGGCGGAGGCGTTGATCCCCCCCCCCACCCCCCACCCTCCGCTCTCTCACTAAGCAGCCTCCCTCTGTCTCCTCTCACTCAGCCTCGTTCAGCCTCAATCTCGTCAGCATGCGCCACACACGTGCTGTCTCCCCTCCCCCACACCTCGCGATTGCATCGTCATTTAAAAAAGACATTGTGAAACAACCCTTCTATCACCGATGGGTGATCGGATCACCCATTGGCACAACCCTATTCCAAAGTTTCAGTTCTTGTGATATCCCTAGTTTAAGCAGGGCAAAATTAACACTGAAAGTTTAAGGATCATGGATGATCTAATCTAAATCCACTGCTTGGATTCAATGCAGTTTTGTTTAGATTTTGGACAGAGATGCATGGATATACAGCAGACTTTGCCTTTTTTCCAGGTTAAAAACATGATATCGTTACCTCAGACTACAGGTTTTGATTTTGTCCATCAACAGTTCCAATGAACGTCTATTGAAACAAGATGGCAGCACCCTCCAAAAAATTAGGAAAGACTTTGCGCAATTCTTTGAACTGAAGCAAGAAGGAAAAAGACCACTGTTAAGACAGCGAGGAAGATAAGGGCAATAGTTCAGTTTTATTTTGAACACAACAATCTCAGTTAAGACCACACGTAGCTACAAAATGTGAAATACTGCTCCAATAATGTTAAAACAAGCTCACCATAGTTTATAGCAGATCTTTGACAGCAGCCATGTGGGAAATCTGATCACAGAACAACTCAAACTGCAAGACAGCCGACCAAAAAAAAAAAAATCCTGACAGGCCAGAAATCCACCAGATTGTCCGACAACTACTAAACATCAAACGAACAAATTTGGGATAAAACATTGGCTTAATCTGAACAGTGTCTGCTCGCTGTTAAAGATCCTTTGACATTATATTGGGGTAGTTTTTTTTCCGTCTGTACAACAAACAAACAAACAAAACACCACCACGCCCAGATCTGGTCTTTCCTGACCTGAGTGCAGCCTCCTGTGTGGACCCAGTGGTCAGAGCGATCTCTGGATCAATTATTCCCTCCACAGGGATGATAATGTGCACCGCGGCTTTCAAACAGCCATTTTCTGCTTGCAGGTACAGACAGCTTAGTGTTCAAATGGCATGAAAGATGATAAATGATGGCAAGATTGAAGTGCCTGTCAGCATCGATCAGCTGTTATTCACATTTAATTGAGGCCTGTCAGCTCCTTGAATATCCCCCCTGTACTCCACTCAGCTGTTAAAATGTAATGTGCCATTAACAGATTCTTTGGGTTTCTGTAATGAATAGTATTTTAACTGATCCATGCCCACTTATAAAACTGCTATAATTCTATTAGAGGGGAAAGTGTGGATGATGCTAGACTGCCAATATGAAGATTGTCAGAGGCCAGTGTTTTGCTCATGAAGTGGTTAAATGGATCTTTAAGTGACCTTTTAGTTTTTTTCTCCTGAACATTTCTTTAAAAATCATGCCAGTCCAACAATTATAATAATTACCCCGTACAAATCAATTTGCATTTCTTATTTCAGGTCAATGCATTTTGATATGTGGACTGTGCTGCTTTATTTTTACATTACCTACGTTACCTACTGCTTCAGAATTTATGAGCCTTGGACACAGAAAGAATCACCTCTCTGTACTGGTGCGTTCCTGAATTAAAATAATGAAGAATAGATTTTCAGTCTCAGTACATGACTAAATTACTTATCAAAAATACTTTACTCAGTGTTCATGAAATTTCCTGCAGTCTTTATTATCCAGAAGGCTGGACAGTCCCCAAATGTATTACCAACTCTGCTAGCTGCTTGGTTTAAATTTATAATATATAAATATTAATGTAATTTAAGTATAATCCAACCTTGAAAACATACTATACTATGACTTTTTTTTATGATTTTGGACGACATACTATACTATAACTTTTTTTTATGATTTTGGACGACATACTATACTATGACTTTTTTCATCATTTTGGACGACGTACTATGCATTTTTTTTTATGATTTTGGACGACATGCTATACTATGACTTTTTTTATGATTTTGGACGACATACTATACTATGACTTTTTTTCATCATTTTGGACGACGTACTATGCATTTTTTTTTATGATTTTGGACGACATGCTATACTATGACTTTTTTTATGATTTTGGACGACATGCTATACTATGACTTTTTTTCATCATTTTGGACGACGTACTATACTATAACTTTTTTTTATGATTTTGGACAACATACTATACTATGACTTTTTTTTATGATTTTGGATGACATACTACTATGACTTTTTTTTTCATCATTTTGGATGACATGCTATACTATGACGTTTTTTCATTGTTTTGGACGACATGCTATACTATGATGTTTTTTCATTGTTTTGGACAACATATGACTTTTTTTCATCATTTTGGACGACATACTATACTATGACTTTTTTTATTTATGGTTTTGGACAACATACTATACTATGACCATTTTTGATGATTTTTGAAGACATACTATACTATGGCCTTCTTGGATTTCATGGGGTCATTAAAAATGAATGTCTGTACAAAACTTAATGGCAGTATATCTAATAATTGTTCAGTTGTTTCAGTCTGAACCAAAGTGGTGGATCTGCTGACCGACACTGCCATCTCTAGAGCTATGCCATTAATGTGGCCAAAAGTCTGTTACAACTCGAAGTTTACAAGGAGACAAAATGTGTTATTGATTTAAACATTTTCTTTGTTTTTCTCTTGCCTACAGATTTGGGCTCATCCTTCACCGAAATGAGCCTGTCCTCCACAAAATTGACCTGGAGACGACGTCCTATGTGAAAAACATCAGCTTACGGGAGTATAACTGCATCCCCAAATCCGTAGCCTACACCCATCTCGGCGGCTACTACTTTGTCAACTGCAGGCCAGACTCCACCGGTGCCACGCAGCCACAGCTCATCTTAGACAGTGTAACAGATAGTGTGATTGGCCAAAACCGTGATGTCACCGGTACTCCATACGTCTCTCCAGATGGCCACTACTTGGTCACTGTCGACGATGGTGATGGCCTGATGAGGATCCAGGTGATCTCAGAGCGAGGAGAGATCCAGGAGCCCTTTGATATACACACCAACCTCCACCTGTCAGATCTGGCCTTCCAGCGCTCCTTCACAGAGGTCCACCAGTACAACGTGTTCGGCAGCTCCGGTCGTCAAACTGACGCTCTGTTTGTGGAGCTGAGCACCGGAAAAGTGAAGATGATCAAGAGCTTGAAAGAGGCCACCAAGCCATTCGAGTGGCCGTGGAGCAGTAGGAACAGGGTAATGGCAAGCAGCGGACTGTTCGGACAGTACCTCATGACCCCGTCCAGAGAGTCCCTGTTCATCCTGGACGGACGGCTCAACAAGCTCAACTGTGAGATCACTGATGTCCTCAAAGGCAATGTGGTGGTGTGGGTCGGCGAGTCTTAGGTCATAACGTCAAGACCCAATGAGCTTTCTTTTCCTCAAAGGTACTGTTGCACTGAATTCTGTTGCAGATTTTTAATTTTGTGGGAACACGATAGTGAAAACCACAGATTCAGAAACCAAATTGACCATTTGTAAGTCCACTGGATGAGGGACTGTCATCCACAAAAAAAAAAAAACAAGTGAGGGAGTAATTGATTGATATTGTCTTAAAGCCAAGTTTAAATCATGTCCCCCACTGGCTGGTTCATGTTTAAGTCAACATAAAGTTGCTTGCTGGTAATCTTTTCAGGAAAATTGGTATGAATCCATAAATATGTGCAACTTTGCATTATTATTCACAATCGGTTGTATTCAGTGTGTGGGAATGCTGTAGATAATCTGAAACTAATATTTAAGTGAATTGGCAGAAATAGATATAATATATATATTAACTGTATATGTCCGGATTAACTCTTGTAATTTAAGTTTACCCATCCCAACTTTTTTCCTGTGCCTTCAAGGAAAATTCCCCTCCATCAGAGGAATTAGCTTAATTATTCCCAGTGTGACTGCAGACTACACCTCCTCCTTTGACCCCTCCATTTGTGGTGAGCGTGGTTCCTCACAAATCTACCGCTCTCGTCTATCCGTCCGTCCAACGCTGCTGATTCAGTCTAATTAAAACGAGCCCTTGCTGTGATCCCATCCTGTTTGAAGTGGAGACCAAGAGACTGAGTGGTTCATTATGGTTGTGCGCTCTGTAGCCTTTGATCCAGAATTATAACCAGCGTTGGAAGGCTTTGAATGATCTCTATATTGTTTTTCTTTTTAGTCCAAAGCAGAAAAATGAAAGTCAGTTGCAACGTTAGTTAAATTGTACCAGCTTTATACACGACACATTGTGAGATTTAACGTATTTCAAAATGTTCCTTAGCAATGAGTCAATAGAGCACTTGTGTGTGAAGAAAATCATAACTTTAATATCCCTGGACCAAAAAAGAAATGAAAAACATCTTAGAGTGTAATAGAGTGAACCGCTGAAAAACATGCATTGTCTGCTCTGTTTGACAGCGTGTTTCAAGTGGATGTTTTTAATGTGAAGTAATGATGAGCTAGCACACTGGGGAGTGGGGTAGTTATATTGTGTAGAGGGTCATTGAGGCTTTGAATATGACAAACAACTCTTTCTGAATGCTCCTGCAGTAGACACGTAGCTGGCGAGTCAATGAAACAGTTTCCTAGCTGGACACATTTCTATGCATTTTCACCCTGGCACTCTATGACTCTGTGTGAATCACAATGGGCAACTGTATCTCAAATTTAGTGAGGACTTTTGATGTGTACAGATTATATAGTCATTCCGTCTTTCCTGTTAAATCTTAATCGTATATATTTTGATTTTAATTTCTTTTCCCCAGCCACGTTATTTTCAAACCTTTAAACCCGACTGTATTGCTGATGATGACCTCTGACCTTTTCTCTCTATTTATGTTCTGTACATAGCGGCTGACTGTGACTCCATTAGTTTTCCATTCAATGTACAGATTCACGCAGGTTCGGTTTATAATCAACACACTCCTTTTTAAGAAATGAAAATAAAACACAGCTGTCATTATCAATATCTTGTACCCCGAGCACATTGTGATCACAAACACCGCTTTCACCTCCATATAGCCATGTCTTGTATGTTCCTTCATGTGATTGTTATTTATATAGAGAAAACACGCTTGTCATTTTACCCAACAATAAAAAAACTAGACCATGAAAAACAAGTGTGATGTCGTCTCTGTTCCTCATTAAAACTGCCTTTTAGATGCTGGTCCACAGGAAAAATATAATGAAACACTGTCAAGTTTCCTTTAGGAGTTGAAGCAGCCTGTTGCCAATTATTATGCTACAAGAGAAGCTACAAGAACAAGGTCAAGAATCTGTTGTCCCTTTGGGTATATTTATCTTGCAGTGAGGCGTGCACTATAGTGTATGATTATGATTAGCAAACAAAGAAAATACAATTGTACAACTAGGAGATCTATGAACTGAAAGAAACATACTGAATTACCAGGAAGCAGGACAGTATGTGTTTAAGTTACTCGTCACGTAGTCAGTTTATGACTGTCGTCCAAAATCATGAAAAAATATTTAACTGTAGTATGTCATTGTAAATGATAAAAAAAAAAAACCCGTCTTAGTAGCATGTCGTCCAAAATCATGAAAAAAGTCATAGTATAGTATGTCGTCCAAAATCATGAAAAAAAAAAAAACGCCATAATATAGTATGTTGTCCAAGATTATGAAAAAAGTCATGGTATAGTATGTCTTTCAAAATCATGAAAAAACATGACCGTAGTATGTTGTCAAAAATAATGAAAAATGTCATAGTATAGTATGTCGTCCAAAATGATGAAAAAATGTCATAGTATAGTATGTCGTCCTAAATGATGAGAAAAATGTTATAGTATAGTATGTCGTCCAAAACAATGATAAAATGTCATAGTATTGTATGTCGTCCTAAATGATGAGGAAAATGTTATAGTATAGTATGTCGTCCTAAATGATGAGAAAAATGTTATAGTATAGTATGTCGTCCTAAATGATGAGAAAAATGT